ATCACACCCAACATAAAACCGGTTCGGAATTTTGCAGCATTCTAAGTATTGACAGGGAGCAGAATTGACGGTCAATCGCGGTCACACCACCAAATCGCTCAAGTCGCGAATTATGGAGGGGCTTGAGAGAGAGACCGCTCGCCGTGCATTTAGATCTGATTTTCAGGTATTGAAATGTTCAGGAAGCTGTGCACTCTTCTGGTGAGTAAGATTTGGAAAGGGCCTAAATTTGTTACAAATAAAATTACAGATAGCAGTTTATTGGTGGAACCTTTTCAGTTGATCGCGACGATCATTCATAATGCCGCGTCCAGTGTCGTGGACAGGGCCAAAAGGTGTTATGGCTGTCCCGAAAAGTACGGTAAGTCTCAGATTTCAAATAAACTTGGAGGTCTTAGTTTGAAGGTGAACACGGTTGGAAGGTTCGTTGAATTTTTTCAGGGCCGATGTGGAAAAGTCGTTCATTGCTTTGAGACCATATATTATGCTTCCTCCCCGAGACGGGGATGTCCTCTCTCTACGCCTCCTCCCCATGCGACAGTCCCCAAAAGTTTGCGTCGCATCTATAGCGTGGGAGGGCGATTTTCTAGGGCAGGGTGGGTTTCCAGAGCGGGTGAGCCACATCGTGCATTTCATTTCTTCACAAATGTCAAGTGGTTCACGTGGGGACGATCAAGATCCCTTCCCTCTTCCTTTAAATATTGCAGGAGATCTCTCTCCTACCGCCTTAGTATTGCAGGCTACCATAACCGCAGCTGTCGCAAAATTGCAGACTGATTATTCTCGAGTTAGCTGTTTGATCGTGCTGGCTGTAATTCACGTGTCTTGGGAAGGTTCAAGCAACCGATTTTTCAGATGCGAAGAAGGCTTGCCCTGATGAATGTAAGGCGAATGGTTGCACACATACATGCAGCTTCACGGGTGATATGGGGGACTGCAGCCATCTCTGGTGTTATGTTTGGAAGTAAAAAATAAATGTTTGTGAACAGAACTCGTGTTCTTCCGGCGTGGAAAGCGAAAAATAATTACGCAATTGTTGTCCTCAAAATTGTGCAGTGCTGCTAGTCTGCTCAGATACTTTGTGTTAAGAGTTCCTAGATGCGAATTAAGAGTTGGGAGAAATATTGTACCCAAACGGAAATGAGATAATCAAAAAAATGGCAGTGGAAACAGAGTCAGCGCGTTCGTTCGTGAATCCAAAACGAGAAAGAAAGGGCCTAGCAAATTTCCAGCGTAGAAAGATGAGATGAAGATATGCGTACTGCGTGGAGCCACCTGCCCAAAACCAGGCCGTTTTCCTAAACAGGAGGAGGCGCTAAACCCAGCCAGTCGCGTGACCGACTTGCTACTCATAATACCAAAATGTGTTATCAAAACCAAATGTAACAACTTCATTTAGCGATAAGTCGTGACATAACTTTTGAATTGAGGACACGTACAGGAAAAAAAAAGATCAAAAGATTCTGGATCGGTATTATCGCGGGGGGAGGGTGCAAGAAAAAGACACATTTTTTTTCTTGAATTTTCAAAAGGAAAAATGAGTTATACGCTTCTAATGAAACATTTCTACCATCACTTCATAAGCACATTGTAAACGATCATAAACCGCCACAGCCTTCTGGAACAAGGCCATCGAGAGATTCTGCCGCGCGCGATTCGCTGCCTCGATTCGTTGATTTCTCCGCCACTGTAGACCGACCTGTACTGCTTCCATTCCATGTAAGCGAGAATTTTTCCAAGTGGTGGCACCCAATCCTGTAGCAGTACGAAGTTTCCAAGATGGTACAGGCGACGACATGAAGGCAGGATATTCTCCTTGAGCTGTTCGATGTAACAGTCAGCATTTACTTCAGTCCGTGGCCCACGAAGAAAATATCGGTCTTCCCATTCCAACATTTTCGGTCCATACCATCAACCCGCGCCTTGGCGACTGCGGTGAAGATGATATCCTAGACCGTAGCGACGTTGTCGGAGCTGCTCGATGTTGGAGGTCTTCCAGATCAAGAGTGCTGGTCCCCAGGTAGCTGTCCATGGGTGACTCCATACAAGAAGTTTCGCAGCTGCTTGGAGTGAGTGAATTCCATAGGCCTTCTCCAGTCAGGCTGCGATTGGAGATGGCTTCATATTTTGGTGTACATGAAGGTGATGGGCGAGAGCCTGCTCCTGCTTATCGAGGAACATCTTGGGTATCTTTCTTCCTGGTACTCGTATCCACGTTTTGTCCCTGAGCAGCGCATTGTTTACTGATATGTGCCTGTGTCTCTTGCCCACCCCCACCTGTATGCGAAAGGGCACGACTTTAGTTCCCTCGATCTCGAAGAATAAGAACTGTATAGCATTTCGCTTCCCAAAATAATGGACAAATGGC